CCAACGGCCTTGGCCCCCCTCATGAGCATGATAGCCGCCAGCACGGTAGCCGCCAGCACCTTGAAGACCAGGGACGAGCGGCGGCCAGTGGACCGAGTCCGAGCGACGAGGGGGCACACGAACAGCACCGACGCCTCGGGGCGGGCCGCCTCCTGCACCTGAGTGCTCGTTGCGATAGACCCAGGGACGTCGTGCCTTGCCTTGTCCTTTGCCCCCACCTGCTTCGCCTCGGTCCGACATGGCTCGCAGCGAGACGTGCCAAGACTGCCAAAAAGGCTCTCAAGAGCGCCCCAAGACGGGTCAAGAGGGCCCCAAAACGGTTAAAGGGACCCCCCTGACGGCCTAAGAAGGCCTCAAGACGGCCCCAAGAGTGACCCGAGACCGGGGACCCGAACCCAAGTGGCCCCCGTTCGGAGTTCCGACGCTGCTTCACGACGGCGCCCAGGCCTCACATTGTGGCTTTTGCATATCCCATTATCCGAGAGAGTGGGCCAGCGGCAGGGGGCGAAGCACTTACGGACATAGATCATGAGCAGCAGGAGGAGAAGGACAAGGACGAGGAGGTTAAGGACAAGAAGGAGCAGGACGAGGAGGATCACGGGGAGAACAAGGACGAGGACGAGGGCGAGCACATGGATGACGATAAGATCAGAAGAGAGCGGAATGCGTGACGACGGGAAATAGGAAAAGAGGAAGACATAGGACAAAGAGAAAAAGTAGGACGAGGCGGACAAAGAGTAGCAGGAGAATGATGAGATGAGGGCATACGATGCAGCAGTTGCTTCAATGCGGGTATCCCCAGCGACGGTTTCTCATCCCGAGCGATGGCTTTACAGTTTCCAGGGCCCGAGAAACGCCCCATGCAGGCCGACAACGGCGAAAGACCTCCGCCCTGAACTGTTCAATACGCTTGATGTCTGGGCTCCGAACCCCTTAATGGTTTTCGGACCCTAGTCCTGGCAACCGCGGAACGCTCTTGACGACACGCAGCTGATTGAAGCCGCCGCGGGCCACGAAAACCTCTTTGAAAAAAATTGCCTGGCGAAGGACCCAACCATACGTAGTTGTGAGTACCGCAGTTGTGGGCATCGTCTTCGGTGGAGCTCCCTGTGGGCCACGAAACGCTGCACTGTGTGGAGGAGACGCATGCGAACTTTGCAACTGGGGCTTCGGTGGAGCTCCCTATGGGCCACGACACGCTGTGCTGGGTGGGGAACGTATGCGAACTTTGCCGCTGGGGCCTTCGGTGGAGTTCCCTATGGGCCACGAAACGCTGTACTGGGTGGGGGAGACGCATGCGAAGTGTGCCACTGGGGCCTTCGGTGGAGCCCCCGATGGGCTACGAAACGCTGCACTGGGTGAGGGAAACGTATATGGACTTTGCCACCGTGGCCTTCGGAGGAGCTCCCTATAGGGCCACGAAACGCCGTACTGGGAGGGGGGGACGCAGTGTGGACGCTTCGGTGGGGCTCCCGGTGGGGACGCAATTCGCAGTGCCGGGTGGGGAAGACGCGTGCGGGCAGTGCCACTGGGGCATTCGGTGGAGCTCCGTATCGGGCCACGCTGCATTGAGTAGGGGAAACGCACCACCTAGTACAGCGCTTCGTGGCCCCATAGGGAGCTCCACCGAAGGGCCCAGTGGGACCGCCCGCGCGCGTCACGCCACTACAGCGTTTCGTGGCCCCACAGGGAGCCCCACCGAAAGCCCCAGTGGCACCGCCCGCATGCGTCACGCGTTTCGTGGTCCATAGGGGGCTCCACCGAAGGCCCCAATGGGACCGCCCGGTTGCGTCACGCACCACCCAGTACAGCGTTTCGTGGCCCCACAGGGAGCCCCACCGAAAGCCACAGTGGCACCGCCCGCATGCGTCCCGCACACCCAGTACAGCGTTGTGTGGCCCCATGGAGCCACGAAACGCGTGACGCATGCGGGCGGTGCCACTACGGCTTTCGGTGGGGCTCCCTGTGGGGCCACGAAACGCTGTACTGGGTGGTGCGTGACGCACGCGGGCGGTCCCACTGGGACCTTCGCAGGAGCTCCCTATGGGGCCACGAAACGCTGCACTGGGTGGTGCGTGACGCATGCGGGCGGTGGCACTGGGGCCGTCGCTGGAGCTCCCTATGGAGCCACGAAGCGCTGTACTGGGTGGTGCGTAACACATGCGGGCGGTGGCACTAGGGCCGTCGGTGGAGCTCCCTATGGGGCCACGAAGTGCTGTACTGGGTGGTGCGTGACGCATGTGGGCGGTGTCACTGGGGCCGTCGCTAGAGCTACCTATGGGACCACAAAACGTGTGCTGGGTGTGAAGAAACGGGTGTTGATGATGATGGTGATGGGGGAGGGAGGGGGGAGGAGGAGGAAGGAAGGAGGAGGAGACGCGGGGCACCGTCTCTTCAAAACGAGGACCCAACACCACAGGATGGTTGGGAACAACCAACATATCCGCCGAAATTATGTGTTCAATCAGCGGCCTCAGAGCTCCAGACTGGCTCCACCAGGTTAGTCTTTCCATCCCGGATTCATGTATGATTGCCCCTGGGACCGAAAACGGCCAAGAGATGCCGAAATCTAAGAAAAACGCTGGGACCGAAAAATCAATCCGCCCAAAATCGCGGCCCCGACGTCCCGCCACCCCCCACCCCCTAGAGGGAGCGGACTACAGCAGGCACGGGCGACAACAAAAATGAGGGGCGTGAGAGCGACAGGAACCCGACCCGCGGAAGAGGGCGCCTGCGCGCGAACCGAACCAAGCAAAGCGCGATAGGGAGAGGCCCCCGAGCGGGACGAGCCGCGACGGGCGACCCCGCAGAGCCCCCTGGGAGAGGGTGCCGCCTCTGAGAACTTCCGACCTTTCAAGCCCCGCGGGCGGCCGCGTCCTCGCCGCCCCTCGAGGTCTGGACCTGCTCCCTGGAACAGGCGATCGACATTGTATCCGTGCCCAGGCACACGCCACGACCCCAACGAGGGGCCAGAGCGGGACGGGATATGGATAGTAATCTGGCCTCCGCTGCCACGCTTTCCTATCCATACCCTGCTGCACCTGGCGCCGAGAGTGGGGGGCCGCAGCCGGGGTATCGATCGAACGTCGATCGTCGATCGCCGATGGAACCGTTTTCTCGTCTCGAGTCATCTCGTGACAGTCCAGGGGCCTCGCTGAGGGCCTCAGGAGGCCGAACGTTGGCAAAGACCTTCCGCCGTGAACTCTGAGGAACTGGGAAAAGGTAGATGCGCGAAACCGGCGGACAGCCGCATCCTCGCGGCCCTTCGAGATCCCTACAGCGTCTCGACCCATTCCCAGGACCAGCTGCTCATCCCGAGTCGTCTTCTGCCGGCCTCGATGCCGCCGCCCGTTATGCACGCCCCTAGAAGCTCGGTGGTTCAAAGATAGGTCCTGACGGATGGGGACCTTTTCTCATAGAAAGGGATCCAAGGGTTGATCTTACGTTGTTTGTGGCACCTCGTCCTCAGGACCCCACCCCTCAGGACCCCATCTTTGAACCACCGAGAGGCCAGAGGTGGCGACACGCTGGCTAGCCTGAGTCTTCGAGGCGCCAGGTGTCCAGCTCTCGAGTCACAACTCGCGTCCCCGGCGACCCGTCGGGGCGATCCGGGAACCCCCCGAACGCACCCGTCGGGGCACAGCTGCCGGAAGGCATCCCGGGGCTGCGAGCCCTCTACGAATCTGCGAGGACTTCTGGACATGGCTCGACGCCGAGATCCCCACATGTGCATCTCGCTTCCTGGCACGTCCCGCTGTGAGCCTCTGGCTGTGAGCGTCTGGGTGTGGGAGCGAGTCCGACGACAACGACAACTCACACTCAGACAGGTGGTGAACAGGTCCCCTCCCCTCCCCTTCCTCTGCATCATCTTCGTACCTCCTCCCTTCTCGTCCTCCCTCCTCCTTCCCCCGTCTCCTCCTCCGCCCCCTCCTGCATCCGCCTCCTCTCTCCTCCGTCCTCCCTCATCCTCCTGGCGGCCGTCCCTCTCCCTCCACCTGCGTCCTCCTCGTTACTCCTCGTCCTCCCTCCCCCTCCGTCATCCCTCCTGCCCTTCTCTCCCTGGCAAAGCGCCATCCTCAATGGCGGCCTCCACACTGCTGCTCCGTCATCCCATGCCCGCTACATCGCGGTGCTCGTGAGGTCCTCAAACGATAAGTGTCGGAGACGCCGAAACAGGCATACCGACAAATTAAGGTGTGAACATGAGGCTCTCGAAAGAGGAGTCTGGGCAACTCAACAGGCGAGCCGCCTGTCCCCACAACCTGGGCAGATGGCCCTCAAAAGACAAAAGTCCGTACAACCATACTGGCAAACCGCCTGAGAGATCCCCACACTCTGGGCGCGAACGGCGAAACTACATCACCACTGGTGGCTTCTCCTCGGGGTGCTCAAATGCCGCGCCTGCTGCGTCGGGTGCGAGTTTGTCTGAGCGTGAGTGAGTCCGAGTGTGGCTGAATATGTGTGAGCGTGGTCTGAGTATGTATGGCTCATAGTATGATTGCGAGACTGTGTGTGCGTCTGAGTCTGAGTGAGTCTGTGTGTGATCGCGTCTGGGTGTCAGTGCGCCTGAGTATGAGTAAGTCTGAGTGCGACGACACTGAGCATGAGTGCATGAGTGTACATGAGGTTGAGTGGTCTCTGTGTGAGTGAGTCTGAATGCCAGTGGCTCTGAGGCCATTGTGAGTCTGAGTACGATTGAGCCGAGCAGTAGTGAAACAGAGTGTGAGCGAGTCTGAGTACGAGTGAGACCGAGTATGCGTGAGTCCCAGCATGCGCAAATCTGTATTCGAGTGCTTCTGAACACGGGCAAGTCCGAGCACGAGCGAGCGAGAGCAGCAGCGTGGGCGCACATGCGAGTGCGAGGAGGAGGAAGAAGGGCGGGAAGGCGGGAGGGAGGGAGGCGGAGGGCGGAGGCGCCACACGAAGAACAGGAGCCCCCCATCTCGTGCTGACTGCGGGGCAGCCTCCGACGACCCTTTGCAGCCCCCCGCGCGGGCGGCCGCGTTCTCGCGGCCCTTCGAGATCTCGAACTGCGCCCCCGCGCTCGTGGGCGCCCGCCCGACGCTGGGCGCCCGCGCGAGCGACGGCCTCGCCCTCGCGGCACCGCTGGCGTGGGCGCGGGCGGCGGCGGCGGCGGAGGCGGAGCTGACCTCGGACCTGCGCAGGGGGCGGGGGGGGGAGGCTCGGGGGGGGGAGGCTCGCGGCTCGAGAGGGGGGGGAGGCTCGAGGTCCGAGGGGGAGGTGCGAGGTTCGAGGTTCGAGGTCCGAGGGGGAGGCTCGAGGCTCGAGGTTCGGACTTCCGAGGCCTCCCGGCGCCTGTCCGCACCGCTCTGGCCTCGAGGAGTCGTCTCGTCGCGACGGCTGGCCTCGCGTCGCAAATTTCGGGCCTGAGCGCACCCTTGGAAAGGTCCGAGATCTGCTTCTCGAGCGGAGATGCCAAAGGTGTGGGTAATCAGCCAGTGGAAATACACGGAAACACTGGCGAAAGGGCGGCTATAGAACCAGCATCCTGGAGGTGCCTGGAAGAACGAAGCTCCCTCCACGAGCCTCGTCGAATACACGTGGAAGACCGGCGCCTCTGGACACATGCAGTCCCAGACATCCTACGCCGTGCTTCGCTTTGCAACGCGGTCCCCCAGCGACCTGACCTCCTTCCCAGGGACCGGATTTTCATCCCAAACCGTTTGACTAGCGTTGTGGATGCCATGACAATGGACACTCAAACAATCCGATCATTGAATTAAAGACGTTCTTAAAATGTGTGAAACGTGTTCTAAACATATGTTTAACCTGTTTTTACATATTTAAAACATGTTTGAAACATGTTAGACACCTGGAAATTATTTGGCAACACGCTTCCTCTCCATTAATCGACTTCCACAAGACTAGCTGCCCCGGTGCCCAGAAAGGGCCCTCAGAGGCCGAAGACGGCAACCTCCCGCCGTGATCTGTTCACAACGAGGCGAGGTCTGGACATGCTGTGGTGCGCCTCCCTTCCTTGACAGCCCGCCCCTGCTCAGAGGCCTCCGAGATGGGGCTGGCGTGGACGTGGTCGGAGGATCGCGCCGCATCGCCGATGCATCGCCGATGCACTGGCTAATTACGCACCGGCGACGTGGGCGATGCATCGGCGACATCGGCGTGGAGAAAGCCGGGCTCCACATCGAGCCGCAACGGCGACGCTAGCCGCTCTGGCGCGATCCTCTGACTCCATCCGCTCGGACCCCTGGCATGAGGGGGGAGACATCGGCCTGGAATCGGCGATACATCGCCGATGGGTCAGCGAGAGGCCCCCGATAGCAGAACCGCACGGTACCCCTGCCGGCGATGAGAAGGCGATTGCAGATCGATGCATGCCGCCCTATGCCGACTCTGGATGGGGCAATCATCGCCCCCCCCTTGGATCCGCTGGGGGAGTTGGTTGGCGGCGCGCAAAAGGGGGTAGGGGGAGGGGGGAAGGCTTCTTAGAAGCAGGCTGCCTCTTAGAAGGCGCCGGCCTTGCATCTATAGATAAGGCCCACGCCTTCTAAGAAGCAGGGGTGCTTCTCCCCTCCCCCCACCCCCCTCTGCGCGTGGCTGAGTTGGGCACGTGCTGTTGGAACGGGTGGAGCGGGGGTTGGAGGAAGAGGAGGAGGATGGGGGGGGGAGCAGGATGGAGGGGGTCGGGATTGGGCAGGCTCGGTCAGAAGGTTGCTCAACACCCCCTTGATAAATCGCCCATCCAGAGTATCCACCCCTATCGTTGCCCTTGACTGTGGCCGCCGCCGAGGGCGGGGGAGCGTCGCCGTGAGAGTGCAACGGCCGAGCGGGCGGCGCCGAGCCGCCGCCGCCGTCGGGGCATGCCCGTCCCGCGCAGCCGCGCCCCGCCAAGAGCGGTCTGGGATCACGGCGGGAGGTGTGCCAGGCCTCGGCATCTGGCGGATTTCGGAAGTCCTGAACACAAAAAACGTGTTCATCTCTTGGGGCGCATTTTTTACTTCCGCCGCCTCCTGCCGCCCTTCCGCCGGCTTCCGCCGGCGGCGGAGGCGGTCTCGTTTTCCTTCCACCGACCTTCCGCCCTTCTGCCACCTTTCGCCGCGGAAGAGATGTCAACTCCTTCTATCCTCGATAGCAAGGCCCTTTTTGGAACGCCTCATCTGGGGGCCCTGGCCAGGCCCCAGAACCGGCCGTCACGAAGCGGCCCAGTGACGAGAAGCCGCGCCTGGGGATCCATCGTGCTGCAGCCGGACCCGGTCTAGAAGAGCATCGACCCTCCGTCGGCCAAAAAGAACAACATGTCCAAAGGTGCCCTCCCCAGGATGCACAAGAACTACGGTACCCTCCCCCAGCCGACCTCGATCTTACACCCCGGTCCGACTGCACCACTGGCAACGCCGAGCGAGGAACGAAGGAGCCTCTTCTAGCCACGACGAGCTTCGGCCGCGAACAGGTTCCCCGACCTAGCTTTATGTCGGGCGTGTCCCCCTACAGGGGGATTTTCGACGACAAAATAAAAATACCCCCAAAATACGCCAAAAAGGTCAAAAAATAGTCAAAAAAAATCCCCCGACTATTCTTGGACTATTTTTTGACTATTTGTGGGGTATATTTTTTTATTGTTCGTCGACAATCCCCCTGTAGGGGGACAGGCCCGACCTAAACCTAGCTCTACGGAACGGCACAGAAACCAATCCCTCACCGAGCTCAAAGCGGCTCTCATGGCAGCGTCTTGACAGTAGTCGGGTGCTGCTAGAAGTGTCCCTGGCCCAAGGTGCCCCCAGGATTTCCAAGGAGGTCCCCACGGCCTCCAGAGAACCCCCCAGAGGCAACGAAATGGAGCAAATAGCTGAGAGATCCGTGGGCCAGGGGCACCTTTAGCAACACCCGATGTAAGCCCTGTGCAGAAGGCGGAGATCACCCAGCTAGATCGCCGGCTGCAGTGCTGCGAGCCCAGGGGGGCCGCCGCCATCCAGAGAGGGCTGACGTCACTCGAGGGACGTCAGCCCCCAACGGCTGACAATAGCGCACTGGTGCCCGCTGAAGAGACGTGATCGGCCCCCTTGTCAACGCCGTCATCGCCATTATCGTCGTCGTCCTCCTCCTCCTCCTCCTCCTCCTCCTCCTCGAGGGTCGGCGACACAGGCCGTAAGGCCTTCCCCTTCCATGTCGTCACGACTCTTTCAGAGCCAGCGCTGACCCCCAATCCTCTGTGTTGGGCTGCCGCTGTGAATCGGATTATAGTCGATCCTCCTTCTCCTCCTCCCGCCGTCCTTCCTCGTCCTCCAACTGCTCCCCCTCCTCCTGGAAGTCCTGCTCCTCCTCCTCATCCTCCTCCTTCGCCTCACCATCCTCATCCTCATCATCCTCATCCTCATCCTCATCCTCATCCTCATCATCATCATCATCATCATCATCATCATCCTCATCATCATCATCATCATCAGGAGCAGCAGCATCAGCATCAGCAGGAACATCAACCTCGCCGTCGTCATCGTCGTCGTTATTATAATCACCATGCGCATCAACATGATCATCATCAGCATCATCATCGCCATCATCGTCATCGTCATCGTCATCAGCATCAACATCATCCTCAACATCATCATCACAACAACCATCAATATCATCCGCGTCACCATCAACACCGTCATCAGCATCATCATCTTCCTCGTCCTCCTCATCATCACAGTCATCATCATCGTCAGCATCAGCATCAGCATCATCATCATCACCATCAATCGCATCATCATCAGCAGCAGCAGCATCAGCATCATCATCTTCATCTCGTCATCATCATCGGCGGCAGCGGCGACGGCAGCGTCGATGTCATCAGCATCGTCATTCTCACCGTCACCATCAGCATGATCAGTATCAGCATACTCAACATAATCAGTAACGCCATCATCAACATCATCATCAACATCATCATCGTCGTCGTCAGCATCGTCAGCCGCAGCAGCAACAAGCGCATCGTCGTCATCCTCTTCAGCATCATCTTCGTCAGCAGCATCAACCGCATCATCAGCAACATCAGCATCAGCATCAACAGCAACACCAACCTCGGCGTTATCAGCAGCAGTACCATCATCAACACCAGCATCAGCATCATCAACACAATCAGCAGCAGTATCATCATCATCGTGATCATCATCATCAGCATCACCATCAGCATCATCATCGTCGGCGGCGGCGGGGGTGTCGTCGTCGACATCATCGCCATTACCAGCGTCACCATCACCATCCTCAGCCTCTTCAAAAGCATCATCAGAACATCTTCAGCCTCATCCTCATCATCAGCCTATCATCCTCCTGAGTATCATCATCCTCATCATCCTCATCATCATCAGCAGCATCATCATCGTCAGCATCACTGGCAGCAGCAGCCGCATCGCCTTCTTCCGACTCCTGCTCAGCATCATCGTCATCATCATCATCATAATCATCAGCATCATCATCATCATCATCATCATCATCATCATCATCATCATCATCATCATTATCAATGGCGGCAGCGGCGACGGCAGCGCCGACGTCATCAGCATCGTCATTGCCACCGTCACCATCAACAGCAGCATGAGCAGGAGCAGTATCAGCATGCTCAGCATCAGAATCATCATCGCCATCGTCATCATCGTCCTCAGCAGCAGCAACAGCCGCATCGCCGTCATCCTCATCAGCATCATCGTGAGCAGCAGAAGCAACAGCATCATCGTCATCAGCCGCAGCAGCATCAGTATCAGCATCAACAGTGACATCATCCTCGGCTTTTCAGTAGCAGTAGCATCGTCATCATCATCACCACCATCATCATCAATGTCATCAGCAGCAGTAGTAGTATCATTTACAGCATCATCATCATCATCATCATCATCATCATCATCATCATCATCACCACCATACTCATTCTCATTATCGTCGTCGTCGGCGGCGGCGGTGTAGTTATCAACGTCATCGGCATCACCATTGCTAATGTCACCATCACTATCTTCAGCCTCATCAAGAGCATCATCAGTATCGTCTTCAGCCTCGTCCTCATCATCAGCACATCATCCTCATGATAATCATCATCCTCATCATCATCAGCAGCACCATAATCGTCTGCCAGAGCCGCATCGCCGTCCTCCTCCTCCTCCTCATCATCATCAGCAGCATCACCATCCTCAGCACCAGCATCGTCAGCATCACCAGCATCATCATCATTATCATTATCATCATCAGCAGCATTATCATCCCTAGAACCATCATCATCATCATCATCATCATCATCATCATCATCATCAGCAGCATCAGCAGCAGCAGCATCATCACCACCACTCGTCTCTCTCTCTCGCCTTCGATCCTCTTCCTCACCTGAATGCTGCCCGGCGTGCACCCGTCGACGCTCTGGCTGCGTCCCCTCGGGGTCCCTGCGGCGTGGCGCCACGCCTCTCCCGCCCCCTCCGGAGCTTTTGCGCCGAGGGGCCCAGCGCCGACCCGAGAAACCCCACGCGGAGCCCCCGAACAACTTTACCAGCCTCGAACGTATCCTTATCCCTAAGATTGACACGCCAAAAGGCGATGACAATCTTAGGGATTCGCCCTGAAAAAATAAGGGAATCCCTAAGATTGGCATCGTGATGAGGAGGTGCCCAGCATAGGGATAGGGATATGTTCCAGGCTGGTAACAACTGCTCTTCTCAGGGGCAACGAGGGGGGGGGACTGTCTCAGGGGGAGGGAACATCGACCTGGCAGATCCGCGCGTTCCTGGGCGGGGTGGGCGATCGGGACCCTTTCTCGGCGATGAGATGACTCGACGCGTGGGAGTCGATGCATCGCCCCCTGAGCCTAAATGTCCCCCCCCCAAGTTACTAGTCCTACCCCCGAGGCGAGGAGGGGCCCAGCGCCGACCAGTGCAACCCCACACGGAGTTCCGAACAGAACAACGGCTTCTTATACCGTTCAGAGGCTCCTCGAGCGGGAGCTGGGGCTCTGAGGCGGCAGAAAGCTCCCGCCATGGTTCTTGGCTCGGGCCCCAGCGCCCGAGGTCTCCCGTCGGCTACAAGCAGGAGTGGGCCCTGGAAACGACAAGGCCGTTTTTTTACCGGTTCCGTTTTGCCGTGTTCTTGTCGGTTCCGACGCCGTTTTTTTACCGGTTCCGTCGCCGTTTTTTGACCCGTTCTGGCTCCGGTTCCAATCTTGAAGACCCGTTTTTGTTGCCGTTTCCGGTCGCAATCTTTTTTGCCGTTTCCATTTTCAAGGGATATTTTCTCGGAAACGGTGAAAAAACGGCCCTGCGGTTTCCGGGGTCCACTAAGGGAGCAGCCCTGGGTAAGAATGGCCTCTGAGTGCGCAGCTTCCGGGGGGCCGCGGGGGGGGCGAGCACGAGCGCGCAGGACGCGCTGCTCACGCACCGCCCTTCGGCGATCGGGGGGGGACCCTCGGTGGGCCCGCACCAGAGCTGAGCAGGGACCGACCGTCGCGGCATTCCTACAGTCCTACCACGAAATTCTTCTAGAACCCAACAATGTGCTCAGAACAAAATAGCGCTCTGATATCATCAACCCGATGTGTTAAACCAAGACAGTCTCAATCCGAACTGTTCTAAGAACAGCTCGTGCAAACCACGACAGGTTCTCAGAACACTTCTTCGGTGGGGCCATAGGCGAGCCAGGACGCTTCGCCACTGCTTGACAGAGGCCACTCCGGCGAAGGGTCCCGCGTGCAGTCGACCCCGGGATCTGCGGAGGCCCGCGCAGCCCCCCCCCCCGGTCCGCGGGGGCCCACGCAGGACCGCGGGCGCACTCCACACGCCGCGCCGGGGCTGCGCCAGAGTGCGGGCCGGCTCGAGACACGTTGGCCGGGCGGCTGGCTCCGAGCCGACGCGGCGCGGGGCTCCCGAGCGACGCCGGCATTCGACGAGGAAGGGCTGCACCACCACGATGACGAACGAACACCACACACCTGTACCCAGAAGGGGAGTCGTTGCGAGCAGGGCTGGCTATGGGTATGGGTGCGGGTTGTCGGACTCCGGGATGGCGCTTCCGTTCGAGTGGGGACCCCCATCCGACAACACGCAACCATAGCCCCCTCCAACCCCCCTATGGGTATGGTTGTGTGTTGTTCGCTCGTGACACAATCCTCATAATTAGCCTCGTCCACACCAGCGCCTCCGGAGGCCTCCGTGATGCCCAGAACATGCTGGGACACAAATCCGTGGTCCCTGACATCCGCCGGCGTGACTCTTCAGTCCGCGGCCCCAGAGGTCCCGGCCCCCTCTCCAGGGGCCCCTTCTCGCCCCAGACCCGTTCCTGACGGCCCTGGGGCCCGACAAGGAGCCGAAATGGAGGAACAACGCCAGGCTTTAAAAAAAAACCGGGGCGTCGGAGATCTGGGGTTAAGCGGTCCTCGAAGCCCAACGGTGCTCGATCGCTCTCGAGTGCCGCACGCCAGGGCCACCCCGCCGCGGTGGCCTCTCTCGCCGTGCCCCCCCCATCCGCCGAACGGCCTCATGGACGCGCGCGGCTCCGGCGCCGCCGCCGGGCTGAGGAACATCTCGCTCGGGCCGGGGCCGCCCGCCAGCCCCCCCTGGGAGCTGGCACACCGAGGCGGGCCGAGGGTACTGAGTTCGGCGGTGGAGAAACCTCCCCTCAGTACACCTCCTTCCAGGGAAAACGACCCAGGACCGAAGCCCACGGACCCAGACCCGCAGAGATGACGGCCGCGACGCCCTCCTCGCGAACCGACAGCGGCCAACTCACCAATGGACGTGTCAGGGCGGGAGGTCTATCCACCTCTGGTGGCGGGCGCGCGCGCGGCCACGAAGGGCCCTCGGGCCCGAGCGGCTGCGAGCGCAGGGGCGCGCCGGCCGCCCCGAGATCCGGGCGCTGCAGCTCGTTCACGCCAGGCGCCTTCGCCCAGACTACAGTCGGGACGTTGACCTGAGGAACCCTAAAGAAGGAACGAGGCCCCCTTTTCCCATCAGTTAAAGTTCGCTTTCCCATCGACGACCTGAGGAAAACCTAAGGCAAGCTGCGAAACAATCAAGGAACACGGCGCCCCTTCCCAACGAAAAGGGTTCCTTCTTCAGCACCCCGACTGTGTGGGGGCCTGGGGCCCTCACGGCTCGAGCTGGCTCGAGAGAGGTGCCGCAGAACGGTGGAGCTCAGGGCTATGGTCGTGGTTCTCCTCACGGCGCTCACCATTTTCCGCGGCGTCGGGTCTCAGGGCTGGCAGGAGGAGAGAAGGAGCATTCCTGTTCCTCCCCGCCTGCTCCTCCAGGAGTTTCGCTTCAGAGATAGCTCCTCCCTGTCGCACGACCAGACGTACTGGTAGGGCGGGCCAGGCGTTTCCCTGAGACTTCCCCACCGCTGATGATCCTGAAACTTGACATGTGCAACAGCTTTTGAGGATGGAGGGAGGGCCGCTTTCGAAATGTCGCCATCGCCTGAGCGCCGTGCACGTTGGTCTTAGAAATTAGCAACAGCTTCGAAGATGGAGAGCGTGCCGTTTTCAAACTGTGGTCCTCGCCTCTGCGCCGCGCACATTCACCTGAAACGTCTGCAACGGCTTCAAAGACGGCGGGCGGGCCGCTTTCAAAATGTTTTTCTCGCCTGAGCGCCGCGCACATTCGCTTTCCAAGTTTGCAGCAGCTTCAAGGACGGAGGGCAATTCATTTTGAACATGTGGCTCTCGACTTAGCGCCGCGCGCATTCGCCCTTGAAGATTGCAAGTGCTTCAGGGATGGAAGACGTGTCCTTTTCAAAATGTAGCTCTCGCCTGTGCACCGCAAACACGGCACAAAAGTCTGAAACCCTTCCAAAGATGGAACTCGGGGTCGCTCTCAAATGGTATTCTCGCCTGCGCGACACGCGCATTCGCTTGAACCTCTTTTCAGGAATGCAGGCTCTCATAAGATTGCAGCAGCTACACGAGCTGAGCACGGGTCGTTTTCTGGAGGGCTCTCGCCTCTTTCGTGCTGCCAGCACGGTTCAGAAGAACGGAGAACTCTTCTTGTCTAACAATCGGGGATAGACAGACCCCCCTTTAGTAAAACGTGGTTTAGTGAAAACGACCTGAGGCCCAAAACCTGGCGGGCGCAAGCCTGGAAAATAACGACCACGGCGCCCTCTCGAGAACCGAAAACGGACAATTCACTAATCGACGCGTCACTGTTGGGGGTTCTGTCCACCCCCGAAACAAGGGGCTCTCGCGCGAAAAAAATCCTCGAAACCCACGAGCACAAGTACAAACCTGCGCAACAGCTGCACGGATTTGGGGCCGCGGCCCTTCTTCGCAAGAGGGGGGACATCGCTGGCGCCTTGCAAAACCGACAGCTCGCCTTCCCGACAACGCGCCAAGCGGATGCACAGCAGCTCTTTTTCACAGGGGGGGCCCTCGCCACAGTGGCAAGCCCAGCAAGGCTCGTCTTTGGGGACACTTCTCGTAGCGAAAAGGTGAGGCTCTCCTCTTCGCTTGTGGGGACGCCTGAGGAGGGGACTTGGGATGGGAGGGCGTAGTGCAGTATCGCTGATGCAACTTGGGTTTACTCTGGTCCTCCTCCTCCTCTTCCGCCACCTTCCGAAGGTCGCATGGCTTCTGAGCACCTGGGGGTTTGTCGTGGGCTAAAGACATATCCGTATCCGCGGCCTCGCGGGATGGTCCTCTGGGCCGCGACACCGCGGATACGGGGTGTTTTTTCGACGATGCCCTGCGCGGATCGTCCCGCTGAGACACTCCTCTTCCTCCCCCACCTCCCCAAGGCCGCGTGGCTTCTGAGCACCCGGGGGTTCGAAGCAAGACCCAAAAGATATAGGACTTCGGGGCCCCTTCATCGCCTCCCCCCAAATAAAAAAAAACAATTCAAACATGTGAGCACAGACGTTCGGAGGTCCGCGTGGGTTTCTTGGATGGGCGCTGGACCCAAGAGATCCGCGTGGCGGACCTCCGACAACGTGCGTTTCTGAAGCCGTGACGTGCTACCAAGCCTCCCAATCCTCCTCCTCCCCCCCCCCCGTCCCGGGTCGGACAAAGGGGGGGGGGCTGGCAGAGCATAGGTGGGGGGGGGGCCAGCGAATCAGCCGCGTGCTGCATCGGCTGGCTTCCCTGGCGACCCCCAGCGCTGGAGGCGCCGCCAGTGCGGCAAGAAAACGCGCCCCGGGGGGGGGGGGGGCTCGGGGCGAGGCCGGCCGCGAGCAGTCAGGAGGGAGAAAAACACACAGACACTATTAATCGTCGATTCCCCAGAAAGTATGCGAAAATATGGGAAGTGGGGGGAAGACAAACACCCAGAAAATATGTAAAAATATGGGGAATCCTTTTATTTGTGTCTATCTATTTGTGTGTCCCTGGGCCCCTTCAAGCAGCAAATGCCGTACGCCCCCCCGTTTCCCAGGTTTCCCCCCCCCTTCCCTTCCGCGCGACCCGCTCCAAGTCTGCCCTTCCCCCGGCGCGAGATACCATGGGAAGCTATGCAACATGTGTTTCCCTCCAAGCCCAGTGAGAGCTTCTCTTTAGATGGCCTCCCAAATGGTCCGCATTGCGCTCAGTCTGCGCAGTCAGCACTGGATACATCGAAAGGCAGCAGAAACAGCTTCTCTGCCCATATCCCCGACGGGCTGTTGTCGGAGACCAACTTCCAGAAATGCGTGGCCCCTGGACTCCTGGACCTCCTGCTGGGAACCGACTTCAATGCATGCATGATCATCCTTCAAGGTCCCCGGGGTCTCGAAACGACCTCCCGGATGCCGCGTTTGACAAGAAGAATCGCCCGCCGTGAAAAGAGCAAGCAACGACGACGGAGGTCTGGGTCCCTCTATCTCTCTCTCTCTCTCTCTTGCCCCCCCTCGCCCCCCCACCCACCCACCCCGGTGCGCGGACGCTGGCACGCGGCGCGAGCGCGCGCCTACTGAGAATCTCGATCACCTGGATGCACTGGAACGTGCCCAAGTCCCACGTCCTCATATGGCCGGTTGCGCAAACCCTGAACCCGCCGGTTGCGCAAACCTTGAACCCCAACATGTTGCCATCTCTTGGGGGCGCATCTTTTACTTCAGCCAGCTTCCGCCGGCCTTCCGCCACCCTCAGCCGAAGGAGAAATATCAACGTCTCGATTCCGCGAGGACTAGGCACTAGGCACTAGGCCCTTTTTGGAACGCCTCATGTTTGTTACTGCCTCCTCTGGCCCTCGTCTGCGACGGGATCACGCGCCGCTCGGCGTCGGGAGCGCTTGTGTAGCGGCGAGGGCGAGAAGAACGCGAGGAACTGGGACCCCCCCCCAGGGCCCCGAGAACAGAACCGGCGCGTCACTCCGATAGCGACAGCAACATCACCAGCACAGGCGTCGGCAACGAAGGGCGAACACTCGTATTCCCCCTCTCCCCCATGATAGATGTTGGCGGGGGATCTGATTTGCACTTTGACGCGGTCGTCCCCCGACCGACGCGCCAACTTTGAATTTCGGGGGAGAGGGGGGTGTTCTTTCGTTGTTTCCGCCTACTAGTACCGTATGGCAGGATCTGTGAGCATCGCATCGGCAAATCGGTTCGGCTCGGGATGTGCGTCGGATTGGCCCACATCGGCACGGAGTCAAAATCGAATCAAATCGTCCGCACGATGATGCACAAAAACGCCATGCATGCACCAGGCCGAATCTGATCGACAAAACATCGGATCCGCATCAGATCGGGCCGGCCGAAATCGGCATCGAATCGCATCGGTCGGATCGCAATGGACAGACATGCACCCAACCCAACCCAATATGACGGCAGGACGAAGATAGAACAGGATGAGGAGGAATCGGGAATCTCTGAGGGCAGGCGGGACCGGGAGACGTATCGAGCGCCGCGGCCGTTCCAGAGCGCTGTCCATCGGGGGCCTGCCCGACGCCAGACGCAAGCCTTCCCTAGGGCCAGTGCTCGTCGTCCCGAGCTGGCTCCCGGCAGCCCCAGCACCCGAAGCGTGGCCGCCGCAGGCCACGCAGGATGCGGCACTGCACCTCGGCGGCAGAAGCCCCCCTGCAAACCGCGAACGGCAGCTGGACAAAAGCATCACACACTGCTTGGCGGCGCGCAGAGGGGGGTAGGGGGGAGGGGGGGAGGCTTCTTAGAAGCACCCCTGCTTCTTAGAAGGCCTCGGCCTTACGTCTATAGAGAAGGCCCGCGCCTTCTAAGCAGCAGGGGTGCTTCTAAGAAGCCTTCCCCCCTCCCCCCCTACCCCCCTCTGCGCGTTGCCGAACTGCGCTGGCAAAAGGTCGTGCGGGAGAGCCCACCGGAGACCACGCGGGAGAGCAGCCGGGAGACCGTGCGGGAGACCATACGGGAGACCCGCTCGGGAGAGCAGACGCCGCACGGGAGGCTCCTTCGGGAGGCCTCGGGCCAAGAGCCACGCTCACCGCGCGCCTTGGAGAGATGAGCACGACCCCTGAGATACACAGACAAGCTGCTCCGGGGGGGAAGCCAGAGGCTGACGTGTCCCTGGCCGCGGGCTGCCCGGCGAGGAGGGTGACGACGCCCGGGCCCAGAGGCCCGATGCCTTCCTCTGGCCCGGCACGGGGCCCCCGAAGCCCCCGAGCCCTTGCTTTCGGTCGGGCCTGTCCCCCTACAGGGGCATTTTCGACGAAAAATAAAAAATACCCAAAGATGCACCCAAAAATACCAAAAAATAATCCAGAAATAGTCCCCAGACTATTTTGGGACTATTTTTGGACTATCTTTGGGGTATTTTTCATTTTTCGTTGAAAATCCACTCTGTTGGGGGACAGGCCCGACATAAACCCAGAGGCCCGATGCCTTCCTCTGGTCCGGCACGGGGCCCCCGAAGCCCCCGAGCCCTTGCTTCTCCCCCAGGGGCCATCCTCTGCCGGCCCCGGGGCCCCGCAGGAGAGCCCCCGTGAGCCCAACGCGGCAGGGCGGGCCCCCGCCATGACTTCTCAAGAGGCCCAGGGAGACGTGCGACTCGGGCTCGGACTCGG